CCGCTGTCACCGGGCTCTCTTCGTCCTCCTCGCGGCGGCCCGAGATGGCGGAGGCCTTGGTGAGGGAGCGCAGGGCGAGCGGCGGGAGGAGGGGGAGTGTGCTGGGGGCAGCGGCCGGTCCCTTCTCTAGGAGTCGGGGCGCGGCCCTCTGCTGCCTGCGCTCCTGAGGGGCGGGCGCGCGGGGCCGTCCTTCCGCCCCTGCGGCGCGGCGGAGCTCGGCGGCGGCAGTCTCTCCCTTCCCCCGGAGAAAAGCGGGGCCTGTGTTAGGGCTCTGCCCTCCCTCTCGGCGCCGGGTGGTGGAACAAACCCTTCTGCTCTGCGGGCTTGTCTGTTGGGAGTCCCGATTGCCTTGGGCTGCGTGCAGCTGCGCCTCTCGCTGGCCTCTAGAGATCGGCCTTTGGCGGGTTAGCCTGTGGAGAACCGGTCACTCCTTCTAGACGTGCTAGAGACGTACTCCTCTTCCTCCTACCGTCGTCTGCCAGAGGTAGACGGCGAGCTTAAGTTTTAAAAGCTCTTTATGTGTAGCGGGGTACGAACATAACAGTAAATAAAATGTGAAGAGCTCTTTTAGATCCGTTACAGGAATTTTTCATTTTCTTATATGAAAAGTTGCTTGACGATTATACTGCACTCTGCTGCAATGGGAGAATGTTTAAGTCTGAGTGACTGATTTGCTGTGGAGTATGGTTCTGCACACAGAGTGATGACTTCTGGTCTGTCCTTTTTCTGTGTGACCTAGACTTTCCTCCTGCTGTGTTAAGCTGATGTTGAAGATTTGCAGGCATACAAATCCTTATGTAGTTTTGGTTATTTTTATTGTCAGAAGTAGTATCCAATGAGGAATCATAAAGTGCAAAGTAATATCAGTGTGGCAAATTTACGGAAAATGTGCTGAATTCTGTTGTATTAGGACTAGATAATCATGCTACACATATGCTCTATTCCAATTTACACAAATGAAGAAGAGGTCATCGTGGTTTTTCAGCTAAACATTTAGAGTTTTTTGGAGATATTTTCTTGTCACGTTTGTGAAAACCTGTGCTCTGCTTAGCTATTTAATTTTTCTTGGCTTGTCCTTCCTGTTTTTATCCTCTACAGTCTTTGCCTGTTCCAAGCTCAGTAGGCTTTATTTCATTTGTTGGCACGGAAAGTAACGCTGATAATATACTGTCATTTGAATTATTACTACTATGATTGTGGTAATAGATGGCTGGAGTCATGTCTGCTCTTCGAATGACTTTGTTTATACTCGGCGTTTAAGTATGTGAAGAAGTGCTGGGCATTAATTGGGACTTTAGTTGTTCCATGGAACAGCAGATGTGGTCTCAGTACCTGTCAGTGTGGTCTTGCCTGTGGAAAATGTAGGTAAGAATCTCTGTGGAAGCAGTTCTCACAGAGCAACAGATGAGTTGTAAGGCTATGTCCTAGCTTGCTTTATGGTAGTTCATTCCTTTTCCCTATTTAAAATATTATTTCTGTAGTCATCACAGAAATGTTAACCAAATCCTTAAATTTTTGATCATTTTTGTCATATAATGTCTCCTGTAAGTCTTTCTGGCTTTAAATGCACCAGACGCTTCATGGTTCTTGAGGAAAGCTGAATTTTTGACAGACGTTCCTGGTGTTGTAGCTACTGTCACAGTCTGAAGAAAAATAGGGCTGCAGTAACTCCCACTAGTTTCAGATAAATTGAGAATCCTTGAGGCTTGCTTACACGAGAAACAGGAGGTTTGTTGCTTATTTGTTTTTCCATCAAGTGTCTTCATGCTTTGTAAAAATTAATTCTTATTTCTTCACAGAATCATTTTAAAAAAGACTACAGAGCAAGATTCTGCCATAGAGGAGGGTAATTTACATTTAAAATTTTATTCTTTGATATGATTGGAAAACTTACGTTGATTTTTGTCTGAGAGCTGAATGTCAAAACTATTGGGTGTCTCTTATTAAAGTGATCATATGATGTTTCCCAAACTTCTTGTATTTCTTAGCAGTGGGAGGAACAAATTGTGCCAGGGGACAAAGAACCAAGGATTTCTTTTGTAATCCTCGGCTGAGGCAGCAGACTGGTGTAGCTCTACCGAAGCTACCCCTATGTAGGCTGCCTGAGCACAATAGCAGTATTCTCTGCAAACATTTTCCCTTTCAGGAGAGAGGGAAATGAAGTCCACGCGGAGTTGCAGCTTATTTGGCCCTTACTGGTAAATGTTAGAGATGAGACTGAGTATTTGCAGTGCTGTAGCTTTCTTTAAAGGCAGAAGTCCATGAGCTTTTTGTTACTGGAATCCATTTATAGACATGCATTTCATGAGCTTACCAAATTACCTGTTTTTAGGCATATGATAGTCATTATCAGACAAATACTCCATGGCTTTTCTCTTGTTATTTTGGTTTTGATCAAAATGGTCTGTCTAGTGGATCATTTCTGCTGTTTTCATTTGTCCTGGGGAGGTTTGAAATAGTAATCCAAGCAGCTGAGCTGTTTGCTTGTTTACAGATTTGATACCTCAAGCCAATTCTTGCTGCTGAAACTTTTGTAGAAGCACAGAATAACAGTGGATAAGCAGTAGAAAAAGAAGCAGAGGGTGACTCCTTGTATGAAGGGTTAGATGTGCAGCCTACACATTTAATTTCTGGGTCTCATGAGACTGGATCACTGTGCTGGCAGCATTACTTGAGGAATGATTTTTAAAATATTTATTTATTTTAAGTGAGAATCTCTATTCATCCCAAAGCTCTTTTAGCTGAGGGCTGTTGCAGTAGTTGTATGCTTTCTTTTATGCAAAGAGATTTCTATATTCTCATCGTATTCTGTGACAGTGGGTTTTTTTCTCCTGGAATCCTTTTTTAGGCAAGTTTCTTGGCAGAAAACTGTCCATGGAAATGGTAGGTAAAATATATTAAAGTTGGGACTAGTGAAAATAATAATCTAAAATAGTAAGTAGCTAGAACTTTACTACTTTTATATTGCTGGGACGGGAACATTTAATATTTTTGATTGAAAATATTTTTTCCCTTCTTCCTTCTAGAAGTAAGATTGATGTACAGCCAGGTCAAAACATACTGAAAGTCATACAGGATTGTTTTGAAAGTAAGCTTTTATTTGGTATTTTGCTTAATTTGCTGGTTAAAGAAAAAAATGCATTTTTTCCTTGTATTGTGTTTAGTGGTAAATAAATAGAAATAAAAACAGAGATAAAATGGATAAAAATAAAGTCTTTCTCACAGACCTTAAAAGCATCCCCTTCCCAGCCGCTTAAAACTGTGTCTAAGCTGTTTTATAAAGGAATCTTTTTCCTGAGTAGCTGATTTCTTTCATGTTTCAATTTACATGACCTTAACAAGCCATAGCAGCTTGTTAAAATAAATGAAACCTGGACAATTCCAAAAATCCCTTATTTACGTTTTTTTTCTTTATAGATTGTGACAGTGATCTTACAATAAGCTCTCCAAGTGCAACCTGTTGCTCAACTCCTATTGTCAGAAATGAGAGGAGAGCTTCAGTACAGAGGCAAAGGGTAAGTCAGCTGTGGCAGTGTCACAGTGTATCACTGGGTACAGTTTTACTTGGGTACAAGTTTAGTTCCACAAGTTCTGCATGAGTGGTGAATGAGTAAGCTCCATATGTCACTTGTATTAGTAGATAGGCTATAATTTAACCTTCTGTAATAGTTGTTGGTAATGTTTTGGGGTTTTTTAGTTTCTTGTGCTCTAATAGTAAATATTTTATAATTAGATTTATTTCATAGTTTATTTTCTTGGGGGTTTGCTAATGAAAGCTTTTTCAGCTTTTTGTCAAGGATAGTTAAATTCTTATGGTCTCAGGTTGAAGCACGCTGCCTTGTAACTGGGGCTGTGTTGGACTCCATTGGGGTTGGTTTCAGTCACTTTGTCAGATAAATGGACAGTAAAATTGAAAGGTGATTCTTGTGTAAAAGCAGCTTGCCAACTCTCTATAAGGTTATTTGTACAATAACTGTATATCTGTAACTGTTGAAGAGTGGAAACAAGTTGACGGACCTATTAATGTGCTGTCTGAGAGAATGATGCCAATAATCTAGTTCATATATTAAGTTTTAATATTTTGATTCTAGTAGTTTTTTGTAAAAATAGGATATTCTCTTAATGGCGGTGTTGAGAACAGGTATCCTTTATAATGATGTTTGTTTACTTTAGTCTGATGTTAGAATACTGTATAATCTCAAAATAATTCTTGCAAAACCTCAACCTGACTTAATAAAGGTGAATTGTTTAAATTCATTCATTCTAATGAAAAGAATAAAAAGCTTGCCTGTGGACTAGCAAGATGTTTTCAGAGCTGCAAATTGATTTTTACTGTACACAATTTTACCTGTTGTTTGAAATTTACAGTTTGTTTTAGAAAGTCTAATGTGATAGAAAATGGAAGTGCTTAGTTAAAATACAACTGTGCTGCAAATGAGTCAGAATTAAGGAAGTTATATTGTGTTCTATAGAAATTTATATTCCTGTCAAAATAATGCTCCTTTATCAAATATTTTACTTTGTCTCATTATTCATTATTGACTGTGACAGCCAAAGACAGAGTTAACTAACTCTGTGAAAAAAGCCTGTGATTCTGCAGAGTCCTCACCTGCATCAGCACTAAAACCGGTCAGCAGCACAGGTTGGTAGCACTGGTATTGAATTAAGTTTTTTGGGGTAACTATTCCTTGGGCTTGAGTAGAAGAAATAACCTATTCTATATATATGGCAGGATGTTCACATGAGTTACCCCTGAAGCCTGCAATACATGATTATATAGCTGATTCTAAAAAAACAAAGTCTCCTGTGTCTAGAAGAAAAACAAATACTATATTGAAAGACGTTGAAGCACTGTGCAAAAGTCCTGCTTTGGTTCTGGACCCTGACGATGATCATGAGTCTGTTGAATCGCCTCTTCTTGTGGAGGAAGCAAATAGTTCTCCTGTGCATACGTGAGTAGAGCTGAATGTTGTGTTGGTGTCATATCCCCTATTGTTCCCCTGCCTGTCCCCAGGGTAAATTAACATGGTGGTTTCAGTCATCTATGAGTTTGGATTGTGAACTCATAAGAAATAATTCCAAGCTTTTTAGAAAATTTCCATATCTAAGTTTAGAAACAACAGAATTGCTTTTTACTAAGTATTTTGGTGCTAACGGTTAGTTCCCTAAAGTGCATGGCCCCTGTCAGAATAGGTTTGAACTCCTCTTTTGCAGGAAAGTGCCCCAAATTATCAGCTTCTCAGTCTAGACTTTTTCAGTGAATCCTATTGACAGTGTAGACCTTAAAAGTTAACAAAAATTTTGTTGAAGCAGAGATGAGCAGTCATCATCCCTCTCGCTCTGAATATACAGATGTTTTATATGAAGTAGAACAACTTCATATCTTTATCCCTTCTTGGGAAAATCTGAAGCCCAGCTGCACTAGTGACCCATGGTCCCAGCCACAGTTCTGCTTTCTTGGAGGACTGAATCTCTGGGGTAGATCATAGAGAGGGACTGGCACTGATCCCGTTGACTCCCATTGATGGAGTGAGATTGGAAAGAAAGTGCACCTAGGGTATGATAATTTCTGAAGAATGTTCTTGTAAAATTAGGAATTTGTCTTGTTGAGTAGCCCTTGCTTTGATCAAATGGAACCTCATTCATAAGAAGAGAGGAGTCACTGTCAGCAGGAGAAAATGAGAGCATCTGTCCATCCACACAATCCTTTAATGTGCAGTCAGGATTCATAGCATTGAATTTGAATGCTGTTCACAGATTACATTTTGATGACCAAAATACTCCTGCTGCAGTGAAGAGCCACAAGGAAGTTGAAAATTTGGAAGGACCTCAGTCTGGGAGAGATAAGCAGGTTGTTCTCACGCAAGGAACAGAATGTACTTCTAAGTCTTCTGTGCAGATAGAGAAGTCTTTCTCTTCGGCCATCTTAGCAGCTGTAACAAAAGGAACGCTTGTAAAAAGGTTTGTTTTAAGGCTTAATGTGGAACATAATTTGCTTGTAAAACAACCCAGTCCTGAGTACTGGAACAGCATCCTTTTATCTGTAAACACGGTCTGGGAGAATGTTTTGGGATCGTCCAACATTACTGAAAAATGCCACTTGAGAAAGAGTTTGAATAGTTGCTTCAAAGTTTTGTGCTGTTAGGATTTAACAGTGCTATTGCTGTTTTCTTCTTAGTGCAGTAGTATGTAGCTGTATTGGGTTTGTGTGAGGGGTTTGGTAGTGAGGGAGGGGGCTACAGAGGTGGCCTCTCTGAGAAGCTTCTTGAAGCTCCTTGGCTCCAAGTTGGACCTGCCTCTGGCCAAGGCTGAACCAATTAGCGACGGTAGCTACACCTCTGAGATAACACATTTAAGAGGAGAAAACCTGCAGAAAGAGAGGAGTGGGATATGAGAGAAACAGCTCTGCAGTCACAAGGTCAGTGTAGAAGGAGGAGAAGGAGGTGTACCAGAGCAGAGACTTCCCTGCAGCACATAATGAGAGGGCAGGCTGTGCCCCTGCAGCCTGCGGAGGTCCATGGTGGAGCAGATACCCACGTGCAGCCTGTGGAGGACCCCATGCTGGATCAGGTGGCTGCACCCAAAGAGGGCTGGGGCTCTGGGAATAAATACTCTCCACTCTGGAGCTGTCTGTACCTGGGAGGACTGCACCCTGTCCCAGAGACCCACGCTGGAGCAGATCAGGAAGAGCAGCAGCCCTGTGGGAATGACCCACGTCGGAGAAGTTCATGGAGCACTGTCTTCTGTGGAGGGACCCCACGCTGGGGCAGGGGAGGAATGTGAGGAATGCTTCCCTGAGGAGGAAGGAGCAGCAGAAACAACATGGGGTGAACTGACCACAACCCCTGTCCCCTGCCTCCTGCACTGCTGTGAGGGAGAAGGTAGAGAGATCAGGAGCAAAGCTAAGCCCAGGAAGAATGGAGGGGTGGGGAAAGGTGTTTTTAAGATTTGATTTGATTTTATTTCTCATTATCCTACTCTGATTTGATTGGTAACAAATTAAATAGGTGTTTTGTCTCCAAGTCAAGTCTGTTTTGCCCATGACCATAATTAGTGAGTGGTCCCTCCCTGTCCTTGTCTCAAACCTTTTGTTATATTTTGTCCTCCCCATCCCACCAAGTGAGCAGCCGCATGGTGCTTTGTTGCCATTTGGGCTTAACCCACAACACTTGAATAGTGTTTCAGTTTGAACCTGAGATGTTTTTCTAGGTGGGTTGGAGGATTCAGGAAAATCTTACATGATTCTGAAGTTAACAGTGATCAAGTAGTCTTCAGAGCTAATATGGATCTGACCAGTTAGATCATAAGTTGACCATCCAGCATCTGAGAAATGCGATGTGAATATGAGGCCCAAGAAAGGAGAAGCAGGCCTTGTGGGGTTTTTGGAAACTAAAGGGTAATGGATGATGAACTTTATAATTCTTCTGAGGAATGTCCTCTACCGTGTTTAGGTGTTCTAGAGTCACCACTAGATTTGCAAGATTGAAAGTCAAAAGCTTTTGCCCCCTAAATGATATGAATACTTTGTTTCTCCTTTAGGTATTCAGTCTCGATATCGCCACCATCACCGCCTCCTGTAAAAGATAAAGATACAGAAAGAGAAAATGAATGTGACTTTTTAATTGATGAATCAGATGATGTATCTGTTGGTTCTTGGATTTCAATACCCTATAAGAACAAAAAATCTAAACAAGATGGCTCTGCAGCTTCTGTTTCTAAATCTCAGCCTTCTGAAAAAAAGAAGACAGGGAGTAAGAAGGGCAAGAACAGAAAAGCACAGGTTGAAGCACTTACTGAACAGAAAAGGGATGATTTGGATGTCAGAGTACAAGACTTGAGACAAACATCAGAATCAGATCCAGTCTCTAACAGTGAAGGAAAGGTCCTTAAATCTCAAAAGAAAAACAGTACTCATAAGGGTAAGTTATTTAACAGATCTTCAGACTTCTCCTTCCAGGTCATATAACTGTGGTGTTTTTTGTGGTGGTTTATTGGGAAATAAGGGTAAAGTACATGAGAGACATTAATGGATACCTAATTGATGTTTCAGTTGTGCAGTTAGGCTTGGGTGTATATAAGACAGGGAGACAGAGTGTCTTCACTTTCACTCTTTTAAATATATTTTTTTTGTTCTTCGTAGCCCTTCCTGTTAGGACATTAAAAATTAAGTTAGCAGTGTTGTCTTGTCTTATGAGCAGACAAAGAAGGTAGGTACCTACAAGGTTTTGCTTCTCTCTCTGTAAGGAGGCTAAGATATGTGCTTTGAACTAGAGGGGATCTGTTTTTAGGAATTATTTGGGAAAGGTTTTGTAGCAGGAAGCACTGAAAACTGGAAAGCCAATTGAATGTAGCATTTCTCCCCTTTTTTTTCTGCTAGGAAATGCTGGAAGTACACCAAAAATTTTTTATGGACTACAGTTCAGAAAAAGCCTTCTTTTAACCATCAGGGCAAAATCTGGTTTTGTGAATTGATTTTGGCTTTTTTGTTTTTGATTCTTTAGTTTATTTTTATGCATTCAGATGTCAACATGTATCTTCAGGATTAACAGGAAAAGATATTAATGTCCAAGTGTTTTGTGTATTGATAGGAAAGACTAAGAAGGATGCATTTATGCAAGTCTCTCCAAACCAGACAAAGGACATGTCTTGGAAACGAAAAGCTGAAGGACTGATGTCAACACGGTCTGGATTGAAAAGAAAAGCATCTGATGCAGAACAGTGTAAAACAAGGGTGATGCCAAGTGAGGATTTGCTTATGCCCTCATCTGGACATGAGCAAGAGCAGACTGTGTCTCCAAGAAAGAATCTCAAGTCCCCCATCTATCTGCAGTCGGCTTCAAAAGCTTCTCAGAGTTTAGTTCACAAGAAACAAACTGCTAAGCAGAAACTTCCAAAAGATAGAGTACCTAAGAGACTGGCAGAAAGTCCAAGGAAGAAGCTGAAAAAATCTGGCAAGAAAAGTAGTAATAAAAAGCCTCAGTTACAAAGAGAGGAGAGTTCTGACAGTGAACCTGGTGAAGAAGAGTTTGGAAAAGAGCCTGTAAAATTGAATGAAGTGTTTTACTCACCCCTGCATCAGAAATTACAGACTATGGTGAGTCCAAAGTTGGCTAAGTCTGAAAAGCCTAAAAATGTATTGCACACTTTGGAGTCACTTGATGGTGCAAGTAACAAAACTCCTGTGAAAGCACTGCATCATCTCACAGACAGTGTGAAGAATTCTGAAAAGAAACGATTGTCAGCTAAATCTTCAGGGAAGAAACCCAAAATGACTAATCGCAGAACCAATAAAGGTGTTTGCACAAGCCCTGAGGGCACTGTGTTTCAAATGGATTCTGACGGCTGTTCTGTACGGGACATGGCAAGAGAAGAAAATAAGTCATCAGACATGAAAATAAAAAGTAACAAAAGAAAACATAACACACAACATGGACTACAGTAAGCTTTTTATGTAATTCTTTACAACTATGGTATAACTTGGTAGATAATGAAACACATCTTCTTAACTCCTAAGCAGTAATGGCCCAGCTGATCTATGTGACAGTTTCAGACTGGTTAAATAGCTAATAGAGAAACCAAGTGGTGAATTTGTAATCATTGCTTTTTGCATTGCTTTTTAATTTGTTTTTTTAAAAATGTATTTTTTAATGTTTCTGTTCAGGTCTTAAAATTATTGACCCACAGGTTTCTTTCAGTAAGTAAAATTGAGTTAACAGTAAATGTAATAATAATAATTTTTTATTTTCTAGAGATTTCTTTGCAACTGAGAAGGCTACGAACCATGGAAGGTAATTTTCTGAGTTGTCTGTAAAACTAGCATTTAATTCCACTTCTGCCCCACTGAGCCAGAACAGCTGTTTGGTACTACTACTGCATTCTGTGTTCTAGCAAAGAACATAGTGGAAAAGGGATCATGATTCATGCCTGAGATGTTTAAATACTGTTCTAGTACTGTTAATAAACTAATAAAATTATTCTTCTTGTCATGACTAAGGGGTCATAGTAAGTTTCTTGCCTTTGGGGATTTTTTTTCTTTGAGGCTTCCTTACACATTAGCGTGTGATTTTTGAACAGAAATACCAGTGCTCCTAGAACCAAACAGCTGCACCAGTTACATAGTCTATACACTGTATCTACAATTGTATCTACAATCCAAACTCTTGTTTGTGCACATAGATATACACCTGGGATTTGGAACTAAATAACAAAGCAACTAGGAATGGCAGTTGTGAATTTGTTAAATTCTTATGTTGTAGTTCTTCTGAAAATTCTGGGTTTTTTATTATAAGTGAGCCTACTGCAGGTTTAACTAGACAAATTTGTCGTGCAGGTTTGCTAATCTAGCACTGAAATGTATCTTCTGGAGTTCAGGTGGATCAGGGCTGAACTTCATTGGCATGGTAAAAGCAGTGAAGCACAGCCATAGAGGGGAGAAGGAGAAAAGGTTAGCGGTACTAATGCTGAGACTGTTAGAGGAGTCCTGTTATAAGTGATTTGTTTGCTAGAGGATCTCTGATTGAGTTACATACATGTTAATTATTGTTATTTTATGGGGGAAATTTTATGACAGAATACATATTATAAATTACAGTTGCAAACTGTTTTACAGTCCTTTCCTTACATATGCAAAACATTTCTTTAAAGAACTTCTATAATCATTCTATGGAAAATTGTTTGAAAGGCAATGCTACAGAGGAGAAGAGAAGGTTTGTTCTTCTGGAAGGGAGAAAAAAATGAGTTACAAGATTTTTAGGAAACCTGTTTGGAGAGAACATGTGAATACTAGTTAGTCTGCCTGATGATTGAGTAGAGGGGCAATTGATGAATTTCAGACCTGAGATTCCTAACTAGCAATCATTTGCTTCAGTGTCCCATTGGTACAGGCAGAGGTTTAGAAGGAAAAAAACCCACCCCACATGATCTGAAAAAAACTTAAACTTGCTGTTCTTGGTAGTGCTGTCATGTTCCTTTGACATGTAACGTATTCAAGCAGGTGTATTTTTTTTTTTCTCCTTTCAAGTGGGCCTGCTGTGGACCATTGTGATAAATGTGCTTCCAGCAGTAAGTCTTGTGAACGGGATAGTACATCTTCAGGTAATGTTTAAAGTTGGTATTTTCTTGCACTTTTTGTATAAGCGTCTTGTAAGCTGTAACTGATGGTACAGTAATTTCTGTTACAGTCTGCTCGTCCAGAATAAGAAATGCAGATTGTATTGTCTGTGGTCACATTTCTGCCCAAGTGCATGTTACAATATGCCAGCTCTACATTGTATTAGCTTTGGAAGAACAAGCACTACATGCTTTGGCATCAAGCCTACCAGGATAAAGTTTTTCAAAAAGACTTTGAACAGATGTTTTTGACTCAGTTTGTACCAGTTTGGTGTGTTGCTGTGTGATGGTTCTATATGCAGTCACTTCAGGCCACCCTAAGCCAACTTGTACAGCCTTGTGGAATCGTGGCCTGATCACCTAAAAATATTTTGCTCTTCTTTTAAACTTCCCTACACAAGTTGCACAAGTTGTCATAATGAATATGAGCCCCAGGGAGAGAAAATCTTTTTGTTAGTGTTTTTTTTAGAGCCAGTTGTTACTGTTAGGTCATGCAGTGCTTTATTCAGAGACCTGGTTCTGTGTGTGTTCTGGTAAGAAGTTTGTTCTAAAGTTAGGTTTGAGTGGTATAAAGCTAAATGACCTTGTGCTTTGATCAGTAAAACTATATGTATAGTTATAATTTGCCAGTGTTTGTTTTATCAGAGGGATGGGTCTGAGGAGTGTTTTCATGTAATTTTCAAGCTTACACTGTTCATAAATTTACTACATACACTGTTTATCTGCATCAGGTTTTGTATATGTTTAACAAAAAAAGTAGAAACGCATCAGGACTTCTGCTTATATTACGTTTGGTTGCTTCTAGTGGGTATGTAAATGCCTATAGTAGTGGTTTTCTGAATCCATTTTCAGATAGTTCTGAAGACTGGGATTCTCAAGTAAGAGATCTGTTGTCAGACCACGGAGCAAAGCATAAAATAGGTAAGACTATTAAAATGTCTTATAAATGTATTTCGAACTTGATATCAACTTTACTGAAGGAGACACGGGAAGACACCTAGAAATGTATTCATATATTAGTAACTATTTACAGATAAGGTTGTTAGTTCCATTTCCATTTTTCATTTAATGTTGAGTCAAGACACTGCTTACAGTTCAGTGAGAACAGTACGAGTTTGAAGTAGTTTTACACAGTGTAGCTGAGGTTGCAAATAACCTGCCTTCTTGTTCCATTCTGCATGATGATTGAGTAGAGGGGCAATTGATGAATTTCAGACCTGAGATTCCTAACTAGCAATCATTTGCTTCAGTGTCTCATTGGTACAGGCAGATGTTTAGAAGGAAAAAAAACCACCCCACATGATCTGAAAAAAACTTAAACTTGCTATTCTTAGTAGTGCTGTCATGTTCCTTTGACATGTAACATCAACTGAGACTGGACAGAATGGAACAATGGGCATGCAGTTGATTGTAGTCCCATACTAGTCTGTTTTTATTGCTTTTTATTTCCTTCATTATAATTTTATGCACAACACTCTAGTTGCCTACCTTCAAAAACTGTTTCAGCAAGGTTTTTTTATTTACCATTTTTAATTTTAGCATTTAAATATTCTTGACTTATTTGCTCTCAGCTCTTAAGAGGCTTTTATTCTTTCTTACAAACACTGAAATATCAAATCTTACTGTATTCATATATGGCAGCTTAGAAGAATTGGAAGCTGAGACTTTGTAATGAGTAAGTCTGAAGATAAGTGTCTGAGAAGTCTTGGAAGTGTGTGGGGTTTTTGTTGGCAAAAGTGCTGCTCTTCTGGACCTTGGAGGTGGGACTTAATCTAGAAGAGGAGGGGCTGCTTTTGCAGTCTCTGTTACTCTCCTCTTGCCATAACCAAGGCAGTGTCTTTTCACTGTTGCTAATGAAATCCCTTGGATTTAGGGCAGGGTTCTTAGTCTTTGTTGAGAGCTTTGTCTTCACAGCTGTAGCATGGTTGCTGCTCCTTGTGTTTGAGCCCATAATATCTGTATCTCAGTGATTCACTAAGATACATAGAATGAAATCTAATGTAAAGTCATCATGGTGACTATTTAAGAAAAAGGAGAGTGAATACAGGTGTGTGCAAAAGGCTTTTGGCAATACTTGATTCCCTTTTCCTGTCATGATAGCAATGTGATATGAGTATCAGCTGGGAAGTGCTGACATGCTGAACCACAGGAAAGGATATTTAATGCTTTCAATTTCTGAGTTTTCCTTTCATACTTACTGTGAATGATTTAATCCTTTAAATTAGTAATGCCTTCCAATACACCTAATGTTCGTCGGACAAAAAGGATACGACTACGACCTCTGGAATATTGGCGAGGCGAGCGTGTAAACTATACGATGAGGCCTTCAGGTATTTCTTCCAAAACACCTATTTGCTTTTGCCTGATAGGGCAGTAAAGAGAAATCTGTGGGTTGATTTTGTGCCATGAAAGCTTTGAGACACTTAGTATTTGGTAATTTTTTAAAAAAGTAGATCATTTATGGTCTCCAGCTATTTAGTTATCTTTCCGTGTAGTCTTTTTCTCTTCTGATAGTACTATGCCAGCTAGAAATGGTATCAGCAGAACACGTTAAGTACCCTTGCCTTAACTGTTTAGGGAGGAGCAAAATGGTTTCTCTGTGCTAGTAGGTTTATTACATCAAATATTCTGTATAATACTGGAAAAAGAGGATTTCTCTTTGTGTGGAGATTGTTCTCCAGAGCAGATAATATAATATTTTATCCAGTCTCAGTGCTAAATTCAGTAAATGATAGCATATATCTTGTTCACAGGGATTTTTTTTCTGACAAGTTAGCCTCAATTGGTTCTTTCCTAATTAATTAGTCTCCTTGAAAATAGTATTTCCTTGTGTCCCTAAAATAGATATTTTGTCTTAGAAATTGACTCGCATGTCATGGCTTTCTGAAATGTTCTATGTCTGAAATATGATCAATTTATTTTCAGAAATCTCAAGTTGCATTGTACTTCAAAATACTTGATGTTGAAAAGCTTTTTGGTTTGTTCAGGCTTTCTAAAGCTATCTGAAAAGTTCAGCAACAAGAAAGTATATTCTCAACTGAAATGCTTGTGGTTGTGCAAGTCTGCATTCTTGTAAAATTATTATGAGTTAGTGAACTTGATTTAACTTTATTTTGTTCCAGGAGGGCTTGTGATTAGTGGAATAGTGTGTCCAGAAGCAGAAACTTTCTGCAACATTAAACAAAGGAATGGTGGTCACAAGCAGAAACGAGATGAAACAAGTATGAACACAGACTTTTTTTTTTCTTTTGATACATTAAAAAACCAAACTGTAATCAAATACTCTGTTGCTCTAAGATTTTTCTCCTGCAAAAAGTTGATTTCTCTGGGTGAAAATAATTTTATAATGAAAAGTGTTAATGTAATCAGATGTGGAAAAACCTGTTCTTATTGTGTATCTATAACAATGCTGTATGATCTTGTAAAAATTTTAACTTCTCAGCATTAGAAAGGAAGAGATACAGGATGTATCCAGAAGTGTTGTGGTGCCTTTAAAGCAGGGGTTGAAAATAAGCTGTACTACTTGTTCAGCTCACTGGTTAATGATGCTAGTGTGTTTAGTTTCATAATGCACAGTTAAGGTATAAATAAATGTTTTAATATAATTTTCCCATGTAAACCTGAGCTGGTAGTGACTGCTCATACTGTATCTTACATGAATTATTGGTTGCTTTAGGCACATTTGAACTGTCTTCCAGAAGTGATGGATTTCTCTTCAACAGACATTCATCCTGAGAGATAATATTTTGCTAGCAGCCTTGAATTTTAAGTGATGCATATAAGGACCATCAGCTGAATAGAACTTCTAGGACAAATTCCTAAATTGTATTGATATGATAAAATTCTGTGGTTATAACTATGGAGTTGCACCTGTTGCTGCTGCTTCTTATAGAGAGATGGTTTTGTTGGAACAAAGGTATTTCAAACACAGTAACATTCTACTCCTGACTGTCTTGACGTAAGAGTATTTAAGCAGCCACAAATGCATATAAAGTGCTATAGCTTGTCTTTAACATCTGTGTTCTGACTGCATTTAAAGAAATTCCCTGTGCACTGTGGAGCTGAAATTGTCTGCTTAAGGGAGATCTGCAGGAGAGCTTTGGGATATTTATTCTGCTGTGAACATTCTCTAGTGTCTCTATTTGAAAAGTGTAAGGTTTTCATCAACCCTTAGGCTATTTCCTTCTCTGGAAAAATCCTTTTTATTATAGCAATAGTTCTCTAATTTATAACTTTCAGTGAGATTCCTGTAATGGTATTTCTTGAGAAAAGGAAAATTGAACATGTGCTTATTCTTTTGAACACTTTATCTCCTAAGTCTCCTGGTGCCCATCAACAGAAAGTGAAAGGAAAAAACTTGTTCTTCATACTTCATCATGTATTTTATATCCTCTCTTAATATCCTCTCAGCATCTGTTGCTAGAAAAGCACTTCTCCTAAAATGCAGATACTTTTGAGTAAATACTGTCATTAATAGCACAGGATAAATAGTTGGCATTCCCTTGGAAGATTCTTTAGGATTTAGAGGACCTTCATCTATTAGGCACAGAAATAATTCCAGGGAAAACGACATTTTCAAAGAATCATTACGGATGGTTTCCTTTTATTTGAAGGAGGTGTACTCAGTCTGTTTAGTTGCTTAATTAAAACCAGTTTAAGTACTTATGTGTGAAATCTAAAATTGTGGAAGAGTTGTGGTTAAATAATTAATGTTTTAAAATGTAGAGTGATTGGGTTTTTTTATTTTGTTTTTTTTGTCTCCTCAGGAAGTGAGATACCCTCAAATTTGGATCGCACCCTAGCTGATACTTCGAAGCCAACCACTGTGCTGGACCCAGTAACAAATCAGGAAGTGCTTTTAGGTGAGTTGAGGGGATGTGACCAATGGCCTTTCTGAATTACATAAGTAAGAAAAAAAATAGTTGATGCCACATTGAACATAAAAGGGTGAGCTACTGAAATACTCATTGCTCCTCTGGAGAAAATTCTGAGGGAGACACAAAAAGCATCCTGATTTTTCAGCTAAATATTGAGTCTAGCTCTTGGGGGTGTTGCACTGAAACAATATGTAATGCATATGATTTAGTAGGTAGTCGTTGAGTGAGTAACAAGACTAATTGTGTGTTAGAGTTATTGTTAATCTCCTGAACTTTTTTTGTAGAATGTGTTAACACTGAAAGCAGTCACTCATGCTTCTTCAAAGATGAATCAGTAGAAATATATAAAAATTTGAATACATCTGATTTTGCCACTGGTAGATTGATTCTGAAACCACTTAAAGAAAAGGGGCACCAGTTTGTCCACATGGATACAATAGTAAGTATGTTTTTTTTCTTATTTTTATAAAATGGACTAAGTAAACAGAGAATCTTAGAATGGTTAGATGTAGCATGTGCAATTGACAGGTTTTTCAGGGTTTTTTCCCCCTATGATGCAAATAAATACAGGAAACATTAATAAATCATTTCAGTTGTGAAATTGGTTATAACCAAAGAAACTTGCTAGAGGTATTTTGCATGCACGTTGGCCTTGCTTTGCTTCACATTAAATCTGTGTGTCCATGTATGCTTACTGTCTGGATCTTGCAGGCAAGATAGAAGTATCAAATAAATAAAATTGGCCCCCACCCCCCCCTTTTAAATCCATTTTATTTTTCAGCTAAAGGCATTGCACCTCTGCTAGCTTATTTGCTTTTTGATCTTTATTACAACATGTATGCAAAACAAAAAGTATGTTTTCTTGGATAACTTTCTTAAATGTTTGTAAAGGAAACATTGTTAATCTTACAACCCTTTGGCTTTCATTAAGGCTTTCCATGTTATCTACGGCAAAATTATTGTTACCTTACATAAGACATCATATTGTCTGACTACAGGGGACTACTTCTATGTTCCAGCAGGTAAGTATGTGTGTTTAAAACCAGTTTATTGGAGATGGATGAGACTGAATTAGCTTGATAGGAAGCAGAACTGACCTGACTGATGGGAAGAGATAAGTTTGAGTAGAGAGTGGGAAAGTGTAAATTTATGAAGAAAAGAATGTAACCCAACACTGGATGTAGGTTAATGACTAAACATTGAATGCAGCGATACAAACACTGCTTGTTTTTGATAAGTTTCTGATGACACTACCAAGTTCTAAGAATGAATTTCTCTTAGTATTCTGGTTCTGCCTGTAGCTATAATCTTTGGGGAAACTTCACAGACTGCTTTGTATAGTGGTAGTTCATACAATTGTTTTGGTCACCATCTGTTTGCTGGTTTTTCTATGTAAAACTGAAAATCCACCTGAATTAGTTCACCCTATTTTACATTTTGTGCTTGATACACAGTAGGTGCAAATTGTCTTGTTGAGCAGGTTGTAACTGCATGTGAGTTGTTGCAAATTTAAGACACCTCTTATTTTGCCCTTCTTAGATCAAAGTGGAATGAATTCCATATGGGAAGCTGTCCTTCAGTGGGCAAGACACTAGTCAGGAGACTAGTGTCTTTTGTAGTAGTTGTAAAGCAGACTGTTCTTGAAGCTGTGGAGAGCTTTTGTACAGCTTTTGTGTGAAGAGGCTACGATAGAAAATGACAAGCTACCCCTTGTTTTTTCCATTAAATTTTCACCATGATGTCTTGATTGAACAGTCCTTGTTCAACTAATGCTTGAGGCTTTGAACCTTTTTTTTAGTGTTTGTTTTAATTTTAAAAGTTTAGGGATCTGCACAGACAATTTTTTGGTTCGCTTTTTGGGAAAGCAGATTATATAAACTGCTGAAAGTTCCGCATGGCCATAAAGGATCTATACTTGAATTTCCATACTTCCCTGCTTCCTGATGGCCTGTCACAGTATGCTGGATGGGCAGTGCAATGGTTGTGGCTTGAGATCTCGTTGTAATTTATCAAGTGTGGCTCTATATGAATGTTAGGATGTAAATCCTAAGAGAAGATCTGTAGGCAAGTTTTTCATGTGCAGTTTTTCTGGAGATATTCTATAGGAATAAATTGAAGTAAATTCAGTCAACTTAAAGTTTTCTAGTGGGATTTGAGAGCTGAGAGCTTAAGCCTGTTACATCTTTTTTTCAGTAAAAATCTTCTCACCAAAAATGCACTTTATTCTTATCACAGGTTAAAATAAATGACACTTGCTATATTGCTTGTTATCTCTTTGAAATGCAGTGACGTGCCTGTAAGAGTGGCATCCTAGATGAGGGGCTAATATTCCTTCTGTTAAAATATATGAAATAAAAATACATTTAGCTGAAGTCAGGACAGTTAAAAGTTGCTAGTGGCTTCTAAAAAAATGTTTCTCTGTTTTTATTTGTAGGCAATGGATATAACATACGTAATCTTCTGAACAAAGACAGTGTTCTTCTCTTCACACAACTTAAAGACAGGTGAAGAACTTTCTGCAGAAGTGCTGGAACATTTTTCAAGCTTTTGTATATTTTGTAGTTCTGTTCACATACAAAAAGTGCTTGAGTGTGCCCATCTTAACATTACAAATTGATACAGAACAACTGAAATGAATGTAAGAAGAGTTAAGAACAATACCAAAAGAACCTCAGTAGTTTGCTGTCAAACTGAAATGACATACTGAAGGGCTTCACTCTGCATCAGTTACTGTTCCTGTGTCATCCAAAGACAGAAAGATAAATGTATAAAATTTGTGGGTAAAGCACTTTGTTGTTCCAAATTGTATTTATATGCCTAATCTCCCTAAAGATGCTTAGAACTTGAAAAAACTTTGACATCTTCAGCTAACATCTGATAATCTTAATATCTGCTGAGTACAAACTGCTTTGAATAATCTCTATTTAAATAGTGCAGGAGCATGCTGTTCACATTTCAGTGATTGTTGTCTAGGAGATGGGCTGCTGGAATGCTGCTGTGCTGGGGTCCAGCCTTCTTCTGGTGTGTTACGGACAGGCATTTCTTCCTTGTCTAGCAGATGTATCATTAGTGCCTCAAAATGGAATTGTAAAATGGGAACTCTTCAGTAGGAGCTTATCTGTTGTATCTTCTGTCTGGAAGCTATGGCTTGGTTAGCTCTGAACATTGTGGATAGCTTTATTTTGTTTAACAGTGATAGGTCATTGCCAAATGTATTACTTTAATGTCTCCTTTTGTTTTGCTTGCTGTGTTCTTGGATAATAATGAGGACCTTTGGGAAAACTGTAATTATACTGTATGCTCAGAAGCCAAGTCTAGACAGCAGATGGTATACATAGCATTTGTCTTCCAAGCTCTTCAAGGTTCCTTCTGACTGAAGATAAGGATAAACTACAGCTATTCTGGTAGGGTGCTTTCTCTCGGTGGTCACTGCTATTCTAGAAGAGAATGTGATAGGGAAGATTGAGTTGGAATTGTAAACTTTAAGGACTTGAGGATTGAATATTGACCTTGTAAACAGTCTTGGCCATGATCTTAATGTTAAATCTGGAGTATGCATGAAAGTAGGAAAGATGAATTTGCTTTAGTGCTTCCCTTAGGGTTTCAGCTGCTAGCTGACTTTCTGTGTCTGTGACAGGGCTTGGACACCAAAGTTACCGTGCCTCTGTGAAAGACTGTTTAGTTTGGGGAATTTGAGATAATACATTTTTATCATTCTCTTTCAAGCAGTAGTTCCTGTGATTGGTGCATATATAGACTGATAGTGGAAATAGTGTAAGTTCTATGGCATCTTTGCATTCATGGCTAGGTCATGCTTAACTGTGAGAAGATGAAATGGAGGAACATGCCTGTTGCTATTTAGATCTTCCTCTATCTTGATACGAACTACTTGCTGTCAGAGTTCAGACTGCACAGAAGGACCTTATTTTTTATTTTTTTCCAAGCCTCAACTTTTATAAGCAGTTTTAAGAGTTACGATAAAATTTTAAAAAAGTAATGTAGTTACAGCTGATAATAATTTGTTGTTGGCAGCTTTTCTAAATTTTGGACTTGGGTTGGTCTCCTCAAGGTCAGCAAAATTCAAATATTGTCCCTTCTGTGTTGGAGCCTTACCAGCCACCAGATGGGCACACATGCTGTCTCCACTGCTTGAGGGGTTCTCACCCACTAAAACGTTTAGTTTGTAAGCCTTTCAACTCCTCGGGCCTGCAGAGGTCTGGAAATTTGCCACTTGGAAAACAGTACAGGGCTAGCATTAGACCAGAGATCCTCTGCTCATTGCCTAAACATGTTCCCAGCAGCCGGGGCATGGATGTGGTGATCTCGGAGCCTGGCAGCTCATTGGTTCCATCTGAAAGTCAGAACAAGAGCACTTTTCAGATGTGTTAAAGGCCAGGGAGTTCAAAAGGAAGATAGTCTGCAAATTTTCTTCTGCATCACCTCTCTGCAGATTGGGTCGCAGGAGGATACTTTGTTAAGGGTTTAGTGAATGTGTATAGACTATGGACCTAAAGGAAAAGTGTGGATCTGTGTTTTGACAGAGCTCAAGGCAGCCCGCTGCCTTCCAGCAATGTGTTCTAGTGTGGTGGGCTCAGATGAGAAGTGATACATTGCCCTTGTTGTATTGGGCACTGATATGTCTTCCCAGACTGCACTACACTGCAACTTGACAGCAAGGTTTTAGATGGATTTTCTGTTGGGTCATGAGTAAATGATGAGGAATATGTTGTTCAGGATGTTTTCTTAAGCAGAAGCAACGTGACAGGTGATGAAGTGCAGGTTCGAAGTCAGCATGTCATGAATGCTTGTCTTGTTCTCTGAATTCCGTGGCAGATAGTATCAACAGAATTGGGTGGATTTGGTAAAGTATGTAACTTTTTAGGCTGGACGGTTTGTTGCTTCCTGGCTAGTCGTTTTCTTGGGAGAAATGTTCTGTATAGTTTGCAGAGAACATCTGTAGTTGGACTACATCTCAAACTATATGTTTTTGGGGTTTTTACATAGCAAAATCAATTGTGCTAAGTGTGGTGATGTAACTAGGATGTTGCTTTAATTTAGCAACAATTCCACTGTTGTCACTAGATGGCGCTTCAAGCACAGGTGTTTGTCCTTGGCTGGCATCTGTGTTGAGTGGGGTTTGGTTTTCGAAAGGGAGGAAGAAGCGTGTTACAGATGGAGATTAATTCAGTTGAAGACTGTTGCAAGTAGATGTAAATCAGTTTCCATGAACATTAGGACCTGGCACTGAACCTTGCTAAGTTCATTTGTACTGGTTCCAGGCACTTGCTCAAAGTTGGTTTTTAAAACATTAGTGCACAGCAGCAGTTGACTTGTGCTAGGTTGTTCACTGTTTCTCTGGATTACATTTTAAATTTTTTTTTTTCAACTTGACAGTTGTAAAAAAACTTGCTTCCATGTCATTAGCCTGAATATAGTGTGAGGAGGTACAGGAAAATATTCTGAGTTCCAGGAGACCTATGGGTGTGGACATGTGCAGTGTGGCAAACAAGATTGGTTGTTAGTCTGAAGAAGCAGCTGATGTTTTACCTCTACCTGTCTTGCTTTGGCTCCTGCTTCCTACATTTTTGTGTATATCAGGCTACTAGGAGCTGTGGGTAACCTTTGGTCTGATTTTTTTCATTTACCAAATGGGATATTGCAAAGAAAGAAAAAAGCCTTCTCTGAAATGTGAGAAGTTAGCATTCTTCTTCCTGCAAGTGTGATTATTTTTATCAGCATATTTTCTACTCGGTTGAGTAATCTTAACTTCCACCAACTACTGTGATGTTTTCAGGTAGGTATGTGCTGGGTTATTTAGACTTTGTAAAATGCTGAAGTAATAACCCATACAGAGTATGTTGTGGTCTCTAGCTTAAATATATATTCTTAGCGTTTCTATAATGTTATTTGTCTAGCTTTTAAAGCATCTTTTAATTATTTCATGGATTATATATTCAGCTCAGATGGCACAACTTTTTACTTAAGAGTACAGAACATCACCTCTAAGTAGATATCTGAGCCAGCTTTGTGCTAAGGTAGGCCAAAGTCAGTTAGCCAGCGTTACCTGCTGCAGAGTGAAGTTGGGATCATCATCCTGACAGAGATACCACCTTTTCTGTTACCTTGGTGGTACCTGCACTTTTCCTGGAGAATATCACTGGTTTAGTATGTTAATTCATTGCTTTCTGTCAGCAGTAATCGAGAGAGCTGGAAACAAAAGCGGAGTCTCGTATTTCATCAGCTTCATGTTAGTAGGTACATGTGTTCTGTGGTAGGTATTGTGGTAAGAACTAGAGGCTTACTTTAAGGAGCTTAACCATGTCCCACCACAATAGAGAGTCAGATTTTTGAAGGCTTTGACTCCCTTTGAAAAAAATTACTGGTTAGCAGGCTCTTTTGAAAGTCTGTCTTTTTGTACGTTCATTTTATTAGAAAGCTGCTCCTGTTTAACTAAACAAAGCTTTTTTTTCAGTTTAAAGCAGCAGAAGAATGGTTGCAAAACTGTCAGATATGTGTGCACATCCAGATTTATACAACTTTGTAAACATAAAATAGGAGAATTTGAGCTGAGTAGTTACAGAAAAATAAACAGTGCCAATAAAATAAGCTGTTGAGGAACATACACAGTTTCTTCTATTTTTCATGCATACAGCTGAACTGGCTATCTGCAGATGATTTTAAATTAACATTTGGGGAATGCAATAAACCTAAAGGGCTATTTCCTCGTTTCATATCAGCTTCAACATGAAGGAGTATTTCTTACATTTCTACTGATGTATAGGCTCTGTTCCATGATGTCTTTTGCAATACAGGATTTACTTTAAGTGGGGATTGGTTGCAGATAATACATCTAACCAAAGAGTGTGGAACATGCCTCTTTAATGGTATTGACAGCTGTTGTAACTGAATATCTTAGTCTTTCTAAGCTGGTATTTTTCTTCTTCAGAATATCCTGTAACTTCATGGATGTTCACAAAGGTAGTCAGAAGAGATCTGGAAGCCAAATCGCAGGTTGCATGGAAAAGCTGCATTTAGGATTTGACAGCCAAAGTGATTCCTGTGGTTCAGTTTTAAGATGAAAACAGTAGTTGATCATCAGTCAAAACAGTTGGCTGCAAATTATTAGGGAACAAATACATTAAAAGGAGTGCTTGCAGAGCTGCTCTGTGTTCTTAGGCCCACCCACAAAACTCCTGTTCTGGTTTGCTTAATTTAAACTCCTGTGCCCTAGTAAAGACACACACAAAAGGTTCTAAAACCACATTTACTTTGCACTTCTGCAGTCTTCTTGTTTGGAGCAGGAGAGGGGCGATAATTGAAACAAGGAGCTGAAAACCCAAGTGTTTACTTTTGGTCTGACTATTCAGTTGAGATGCAAATCCTATTGCAGACATTGAGATGCAAACGTATTAATGTCCTGAGGAAGATTTTTAACTTCTTTTTGCAGCCTCATAGGTAAGGACTTTTAAATTTAAAAACTGAATTGCAGCACTCTTGACAACTATTTAGGAAGGTTATTAAATGGGTACAGTAGCTGTTAACACATTATTTTAGTTAGCTTATTACATTTTTTCATGGTCATGGTGTTTGAAGAAGCTGCTTTTCCTGCGTTTTCAGTAACAGTAGCTGAAATAAGAATTATTCAAGACGGCAGATGCATGGTAACGCTGTGTGGGTGTCTTCTGGAACCAGCATGCCATAAAGATGGAGAAGAAGGGAGTGATATGAAAGGTGTAAACATAATGAAAAGCTATAGTAGCATCCAAAGGTGTTGCAGACTGGCTTGCCTATGTTGTGCAAAGGGTTTTCAAGGAAATTCAGTAATGTTTGGGAGAGCAGAATGTGGCTCTTCTGATTGCAAAGGGAAACCTTTCTGGTGACGGTACCATGAGAACACAGCTGTCTCTGCTGATAACCTACACTCTTGGTTTGGGATTCTGGTGGTGCTATGATCACTTGCATTTAAGAGCATTAAGTCATCTTATCTAGAACTGCAGGATTCAGCTAATGAACACGATGTATAATCCACTGAACAAGAGGCCTGAACTTACTGAATTTTATCCTTTCTTTATGTTATCATCACTTTTGTGTTGTAGTACAGAGGGGACAATTACAAGAAATGAAAGTTAATTTCAGTTAAGTTTTTTTCAAACACTATCTGAACTTAAAATTTTATTGCTGACAAAGAGGGGTCTCCCCTAGGATGCAGTAGCCTATGCACTGAAGAAATGAAGCACTTCTATATTTCAGTTAGTGCCAAGTCAGCTCTGAGGCTAATTAATCAAAACAAATTTACAACTAAGCCCAGGAAGGAAGACTAATTAAGTAGCCAGTTAAGAAAAAGTGCTGAAGGAGGGAGCAATCTTAAGGGGAAAGCATGAGACTCCCAGTATTGGCCCATGAAGGACAATTAAGTGATAATTGCAGAGACCTTTTGCATCCAGCAAATGCTCTCTGACTTTTATTATGGCTGATTTTCTTCATATTAGTAGAAGCAGACATTTGGCTGTTGAGCAGCTAAGCTTTCCTGTGCACTCTTAAGGTAATTCATAGGTAAAGCACAGAGGTCGCTGCAGGAATAAGTTAGAACACAGCTGCTAGACTTGAGCAGTATTTTAGCTAGCAAAAAAAGCCCCACTGTGTTTTAAAGACCAAGTAACTCTAAACGTTCGCTTTATTTGCTTCTTCATTTTGTGGCATACCAAGTCCATCTTAGCATCCTGTTTAACCTTTGAAACAAATTACATTGAGTGAATCATCTTAACAGAATTTAGAATAGCTTCATTTTGTTCAGTTGCTAACTCCACTTAAGTTCACAGAAATCATTACCTTGTCATGAAATGGCTTCTGCTGCTTACATCCTGCACCCACGCTGCATGACGTACTTGTGTTTCCTGATGAAAAAAAGGGGAGAAACTATAATAGTAATATTGTGTTTACTGGAAATAATTTAGGTCCTCTTCTGAAGGACATTTTAAGCTTGCAAAGCTCATCTCTGGCGAGATGCTGGTGGTTGCAAATGAGGTGGATGTCTCAGTCCTCCTGCACCACTCCTTGCCCATTTCCATGAAACTGTGATGCTGATCAAGTACAAAACCTGTCTTAGTTAATTGGACACATGCACGGGCTAAGAATTGGCTCAAATGTCCATGTCCATCTTTTAGGTTTTGTGTACTTATCTGGAACTTGATTTATTTTGTAATAATAGTAATTTCCTTCAGGAAATTCCATGTGCACCTGCTGCCAGTGTGATGCACTGCGTCCTGCTATGCAAGTTGGCAGTTGTCTCGAAGTATCTGTCAAAGGTGTGCTTTTGTCTCTTTTTTCTTTTTTTTTTTTTTTTCCTCTTTCTTCCTGTTGGAGTGGGCTGTGGCATGAGGCATTCACCTGCCACTGTTTCAGTTTAGCTGCTATATCAAGTTTCAATCTGCTCCTTCATTTTTTTGTCTTGCTGCCTAAAATATTTTCTTGCCTTTTTTGAATGAATTTCCCTTACCAAAGGTTTCTTTTTTATCTTTGTGCTGCTTGAAAGGATTATTATATTTTTCTAATTTAATTCCAGGTATTTGAATTATTTCGGAGTAGTTCTTGTGCCTGAAGGTTCCTTTGCTGTGTCTTCAAGCTTTGCATGGGCCCTGGCAAAACTCCCAATTTTCTGACTTGGAGGAGTGATGCAAAGCTTCCTTTGGCTGCCATTCTTTGAAAGACATTTGTGTAGTTTCAATCCCAAGAGGTCAGTTTAGGATGTCACTGGCGAAGCATTAGTTATCATCATCATCTGCTATTTTCCGGATTGCAGAATCAGAACTGAGACTGCTTCAGGCTGGCATGGTTGCCCTTGAGCCTCACCCATCTGTTGAGGCTGGCTCTGCAGTGCTGAAAGAATCCGTCCCAGCACCATTCCCCTGGCCAGACCTGTCCTACAGCATTGTAGCATTGTGCTTTTTGCTCCTGTAGTGCAAATTCAGTGCACTGGTGACTTCCTCTGCCTTGGCACAATTTTGCCGTGGCTCTGCTGTCACTTAGGCTCTAGGCCATACCCTGGGTTTGGATTGGCAGGCGAGGCCAGGCACTCACCCGCTCTTACATCTTCATTCCTCTTGCTAGTGGGGATGGTGTTTGGCACCAGCTGGTTTTCGCACAGAGGTCTGGCATGGCAGTGTGTGCCCATTGCTGCAGATATGAATGTGGACACATATGCCCTCTTGCTCCCCATTGCTGCTTGATTTTTCTGGTAAATGCCAGGAGAAAATAATTTTCCTGGGTTTCATGTTTCTGTGGTGTCTAAGGAGGAGCCTGAGCTGAGGCTGGGAGAGCTGGGTGGTCATTCAGTATCACCTTCATACATTTCTCTCACAGACAGAGCTGAGACCTGACTGTCTGTGGGTTGGGAGTGTGTGTTTGCAAAGTACATTACAGTATTTGTGTACAGACTTGGCATCCTCATTGCTGTTGTTGCTGTGGAGAGGTCAGGAGGAACAGAAGAGATCAGGAGACAAAAGCTCATATATGGAGAAAGAGCTGCTCTGACTGCAGGGCAACTGGCTCTAGGTGGTCCTGCCTGAGCAGGAGGGTTGGACCAGATGACTCCCAGAGGTCCCTTCCCAACCTCAACCATTTTGTGAAAACTGAGACTCCTATGCTATGGAAGCTGCTCTTCTGTAAGTTTAGTTCATGCTTGTGTTGGGAAGACCCTTCTGCCACACACCTCAGGCGGAGGGACCTCTCCTGTGTCACACAGCAGGCTGTGAATGGGCCAACCGGAAGAGTGTGGAGTGTGCCAGAGCACTTGGCTGCTGGTGAACAGCCACTCTTTTCCCTTTCTCTTGTGATTTGAGCCCAGAGGGCAACTGAGCACCACACAGCTCACCCCTTCCCCCTCAGGGGTGGGGAGAAGTACAACAAAAGGCTCTGGGGTGCAGATAAGGACAGGGAGGGTTAAAGACCAGAGTAGGACAGAGAGGAATACAACCACATCTTAAAAACACCTTCCCCCCACCCATCCCTCCTTACCAGGCTCAGCTTTACTCCTGATTTCTCTACCTCCTCCCATCCAGCAGCACATTGGCACAAGGAATGGGGGTTGGGGTCAGTTCATCACCTGTTGTTTCTGCTGCTCTTTCCTCCTCGGGGGGAGAGGGGGGGGCACGATGACTCCTCACACTCTTCCCCTGCTCCAGTCTGGGATCCGTCTCATGGGAGACAGTCCTCCACAAACTTCTCCAACATGAGTCCTTCCCACAGGCTGTAGTTCTTCATGACATGCTCCAGTGTGGGTCATCCCTGCATGTTGCAGTCCTCCCAGTGACAAACTACAACAGCGGGGGTTTCTTCCCACAGAGCCCTGGCCTTCTTTGGCTGCAGCCACCTGCTCTGGTGTGGGGTCCTCTTGCCCGCAGGTGGGCATCTGCTCCACCATGGACCTCCGTGGACTGAGAGGCACAGCCTGCCCTCTCGCCACGAGCTGCAATGGGTCTGCTCCGGCACACCTCCTGCTCCTCTTTTCCCATGACCTCGGTGAGCACAGGAGTGTTCATGCAACTGCAACTCCTCCTCCCAGATTCCCCTTGTTAAATACATTATTTCAGAGGTACAGCCACCATTGCTAATTGGCTCAGCCTTGGCCAGAGGCAGGTCTGAATTAGAGCCAGGGGATCTTCGGGAAGCTTCTCACAGGGGGCACCTCTGTAGCCCCTCCCATGCTACCTCCCCCCTCAACACAACACCCTCTGTAGCAGAAGACAATGTGCCTACTAAGTTGTGTTACAACCGTCAGCTTTACCTTTCCCCTTCTGATCTTTGCTCTGAGGTGTCCCTCTAAGGAAGACACTTACCTGGGTTTGATGGGGAGTCGGTTCTGAGGAATTAGCTAACAATTTTGTTCATATATACCCAAAACATTTTTGTATATTTTGATACTGGGATGTTATTTTCACTTGCAAGGCTTAACAGCAGTCTTCATTATGTATGCGGGCTTTAAACCAGTTTGAAAATTTGGTGCACTTCAGGCTATCAGGTGGCTGCTTTTTCCACAGAGCTCTACATCTGGAGTAATAGTCCTCAGCTATCACTTGAGGTGGTGAGTTGCATCAGATGTTATTCTTTGTTGCAAACAGTTTTAATTCTTGGTGACAAAACTGTCAGCAGTTTTGTGTGGCCTTTGGGACTATAAATCATAGATTGTGGACTGTTTGTCTAAGTGAATTAAAATACACACAAGATTTTTATAAAAATAGTATGACACTCACGCACATCCACTGCTGAGGCCTCTTGATCCTGAGCAATTTCATGTTAGAGATAGCCTAAGAAAATACATGCAGAACAAGTGTCAGTGTCACAGTCAGGTGTGCCTTTAACAATTCCAGACTTTGCACAGAGGAACGCATGTATTAGAGACTACTGTTAGTGAAATTAAATTAGGCTGATATGCTATTTTGAGCATAATTGAAATGATACTAATATTTTTGCTGATTTGCCACTGGAGTAGGTGAACACTTTAATGTCCTTGCCTCTGTGAGTACTAGCAGTTGTTCCACTTTACTGTCTAGTAACCCCCAAATATTATGCAACAGTGAGAGCGGCCTTTTTTAACTGTGTTAATTTGAACTAATTTCTATTCTTTTTATCATTTAGAGTGAAAAGAGACACGTTGGAGACCTCTTCCCCGTAACTTTGCCTGCAAATTGAAGATCATCTAATGCGAAGGGGTTCTAAAGAACAATGTAGCTATCATCCTACTGGCAATACACCACAGGTTTTGGGGCAGGTTTTTTCATTGATCATAAATAATCTTTCTGCAGTGTATATTGTAAATACATGGTTTGTTACAAATATTTTGTTGTATCAATAAATATTACATAAGGCAAATAAGTTTTTATTTCTTTTATTTCTAAATTATTTAAGAGCTAATTTTCTAGTAGTCCTTTTGGTTTTGAAAATGCAGGTAATTGCATGAGTTTGACTTGTAAATATTTATAAATAATATGAGTTAACTTGAGTGCATTTAAGAATGTCGCCAACAGTGAAACGTTTCAACTGTTCTATTGGAGCTGTTGAAACTCTTAAAAGGAGTTTGAAAGTGAAATATTTTTCATAGTGTAGAATAAATTGTTTAGGTTGGAAAAGACCCTAAAGATCATCAAGTCTAACTTAACACTGCCCAGTCCACCACTAAACGATGTCCCTAAGTGGCACATCTGCACGCCTTTTAAATACTTATAGGGGTGGTGACTCAACCACTTTCCTGACTAGCCTGTTCCAATGCTTGACAACCCTTTCAGTGAATAATCCAATCTAAACATCTGCTGGTGCAAATTGAGGCCATTTCTTTTTCTCTCACAGGTTACTTGGGAGAACACTCACCTTGCTACAACCTCCTTTCAGGTAGCTGTAGAGAGTGATGAGGTCTCCCCTCAGCCTCCTCTTCTCTAAACAACCTCAGTTCCCTCAGCCGCTTCTCCTAAAACTTGTGCTCTAGACCTTTCACCAGCTTCGTTGTCATTCTTTGGATGTGCTTCAGCACCTCAATGTTTTTCTTGTAGTGAGGGGCCAAAACTGAACACAGTATTTGAGCTGCAGCCTCAGCAGTGCCAAGTACAGGGGGATGATCACTTCTGTAGTCCCGCTGGCCACATCATTTCTGATAGAAGCCAGGGTGCTATTGGACTTCTTGCCCACCTGGGCACATTGCTGGCTCATGTTCAGCTGGCTGTTGACCAACATCCCCAGGTCCTTTTCCACAGGGCAGCTTCCCAGCCACTCTTCCCCAAGCCTGTGGCATTGCATGGGGTTGTTGTGACCCAAGTGCAGGACACGGCACTTGGCCTTGTTGAATCTTGGATGCTGATACAGATTAGCTTTGAAAAAACAGTGTTCCTAGTTGGCAGTGGCTTTGGTTCCTATTCAAATCCCTGGTGTTCCTGCCATAGTTACACAGCAGCTCTGTGTTGAAATGTTGCAGAATTATTCTGGTTTTCAGGTAAATCATAAACAGAGTTACATTCTTCTGCAGTGTTGCAACCATTCAGTGCTCTTTTCTATGAAATTTTCAAGATGTTTCCATTTATCTGGAGATGGTGTTCCCTGAGTGTTACCTATTATGGCAGGTCTCGCATAGTCATCATAGTGAAATAAAATGAAAGCACCTCTCATCCCTTTGGGAAAATATGGTCCATTAGTTTTTCATTTGCCAAGAGCATCAGTTTTTAATATTTTTCCCTTTCCCTTTATCTCCTGGGAATATCAATCTGCATAGATCTATTATTAATTCTCCAGCAATGAGCTCATTTTCTCAAAAATCTTTACTGTGGGTAGTAAAACTAGGCCTCCCTAGGAATGATTTAAAATCCAAATTGGACTCCCAAGTATACTATACATGGTGCTGGCTTTTTGGGTTTCTTTTTGTAGGTGGTTGGTTGGTTGGTTGTTTTATTAAAAGTATCTTTGCCTCATCTGAACTCACTGGTTTTGTAAGTGTTGTAGAGTTGTCCAGCATTTAAAACTTGGGAGTCTGGATCAGTATTAAAACAATTCTGGAACCAAAACAATTTTTGGAGGTGAGAGGGTAAGGAAAAAAAATCTCCAGAACAAGAGCATACTATGCTATGAGTGATAGCATATTAAGTTATTTAAATGTTGCAGAGAAGAGAGCAAGAGAAGATTTCTGCTCCTGGAAGATTCTATAAGCTCTGTTTATAACATTCATTCCCATCAACCCTGCCCAAGCAGCACTCATTAGCATTTTGCTGGTGAGAGCCTTGCTGAAATGCTGTCTTTCAACGTGCTGTTCTCCTGGTTTTTGAAGCCCTGCCTCAATTCCAGTGAGTATTTACCATTAACTAAATCAGCGAAGAATCTGGCTCTGCCACTCAGCTCTCTGCTGCCTCCTCTGCTGCCTCTTCTGCGTGCCTGGGTAAGTGTGGGAACGTCCACAAGACTTGTGCCCCTGGGTTGTGCAAAATGGGAAGGGGAGGATGGCTCCGCCCTCTGTAAGAAGGCCCAAAGCTGATGGGACTTGAGTGCTGTTCCGTTCTGGTCAGCTGCTGCATAGGTTGCTCGTTAGGATCCCTTGAGCAGGACATGGATCTGGGGACTCTCTTTCCTCATCCTGACTGTTTGGATGGGGTTGTGCTCTCGTGCTCGCGGTCTGACACGAGGAATTGTTACCACTTCTTTTCACTGCAGTGTTTTGGAGATGCTGTCATCCAGAACAGTCCATCACAGTTTCTTGTTAATTGGGTCAAATCAATGCATTGCGTTGGACAAAACCAGAGAAATAACCACACATATCTTGTACTGTATTTTGGTAAGCAGGAAGATTGTTAATACATCTTTTACTTGCCTTAACCTGGAAGAATCAGAACATTTGCCCTTCCTATGCCAATTAGACTGAGTCATAACTTCACAGAAGCAGGACAGTTCCTGTAAAATCTGTATGCTGACCCAATATTAACTTTTAGGAAACAAGGAGCTTCTTTGTCTTGTATCTTTTTATTGTTTGGCTGGTTTTGGTTTTTTTTTTTGGGGGGGGAAACGTGTTTTTTCTGTTCCTCCCGTGATCATAGATACACTGGTTCAAGTTTGTCATGTCACTGTAAGGTCTAAAAAGTTCCAGGAGTTTTAGAAGTGACAAACAGGTAATGTGCACAATTCATAGGGAGCACAACAGTAGCTGACACTGAATTTCTCTTGCATGTAAAAGAATTCAACTTAATTTTTGTTATCTTAGTGGATAAAAAGCAAAGTACTAGTCTTAAAAATTATCCGAATCAGCTGGCTTTCTCCGCTGCAGGTTATCCAGTGTCCCAGGACCAAGCAAAGGTGCCGGTGGTTATGCTGTAGCCCAGCTGCAGGCATGGCATGTGAGTAAGTTACTCCGCATGTGCCGTGAGCCACAGAGTCAGTGATTACCAGGCTCATGTGCTCATTCATGCCTTGAGATGTGGTACATGTAAAGGCAAATGCTTA